TGTCAAACAAATGTTCTGCTGTTGTCGGCTGTTATCTTTCCTTTTTTCCCTAGAAGTAACTCGTAAGTACATTCTACCTGACGGGTGCTTACACTCAGTAATCTCGATTTGTGAGTTTAATGACTTTACTGTTGAAAGACTGCCGCCCGTCCGTTACTACTAAAACAAATAAAATCGTAATTTCACGAAAATCCAAAATAATAAAAACCAGCAACAATCGTAAAAATATAGATCCTTACGTCTGGCGGTCTAAAACCAAAAAATTTTTTTGCTTTATGGCACCATATCTTTGGAGTCTAGAATTAATTGTTCACTGGCAGAGGTGCCTCATAAAGCTGATTCATTTTTTCATAAAAAATGATGTTCCGTTTATTAAACGACCAATGCCATTCATTCACTTTCTCGTTCACTAATTCACGCATTCATACTTGGATTCATTTACCGATTCGTTCGTTCCTTCACATTTTCATTCGTAGCTTCGTCTTTTCATTCATTCTTTCTTTGGTTCATTCATATATTTGCTCTTTCATTCGTTCATTCTTTACTGAATCGCTCGCTTAGTCATTTATACCGGCTTTCCCCAAGCCAAGTCAAGCTAGCTCATGAGTTGAATTGCAGAGATTGACAATATCTACCGTTCAGCGCGCCAGAGCCATCACGCCTTCTGTCTACCTTTTTCTTACATGTCACAGAATCCAGTTGAATTTTCGAAACCATTTTATAATTGTTTTCGGTTTTCTGTACTTTCCAAGTTGTTTGCTCTACGAGCAATCATCACTTGCTCCTCATTTGTTTTCCAGTTGTTCAGTCGTAGTCATTTTCTTGTGAAAATCGCTGTTTGTACACAAATGCAAAGAGCCTTCTTTTCTATCATCATATACGTAGACAAAAGGCTACTGATGGCAGCGTGACCGAACGAATGAGTCAATTGCTGACGTTTGACTAGATTTATACTTGATTTCAAAGTTCCTTAACGATTTGCAGTTTCATCTAAGAACATTCAGTCGCATCTTGGGCTATACCTCAAATATATCTATAACTCAGGTATATCTGCGTGGGGCTAAAGCATCCTTCACTGTAAATAATTTGAGTGTGACTTGATGGCCATGGAATCTGTTATATGATTTATAGGTACTAGAGAACCTTTAAACTTGCAATTTTTATATGGTTATGTTAGCATTATTTTTAGATTTTCATGCCGATTCTGTGGTTTTCGATTAAAAGAAGATTATTTTATTATTTTCTCTGTTGCGTAGCCAAGAAGCAGGTCGAAAGTCTGTTCAGAATCTGATGTTTCATCGACAGCAATAATGGTTCATCATTGCTGCAGGCTGTCACTGGAACTGCGTAGAAACGATCACTTCTGAGTGCAGTCTTTCATCATTCAGCTTCGTGTCCATAACCAACCAATTTAGAACGTTCCTTTATTTAGTTGTATTTTGTGTTATTATCGTCTAATGATGACAGACCTGAGCTGTAGAATAATTGAGACTTTTGATGTATAGCCATTCCTAGAAAATATGCCTCAGTTGCGAAACGTTTATGACGAAATCCCTTCTGCGGATAAGAACAGTGACCGTGTACGCTTACATATGTAAACTGTAAACGTCAGCTGTTCGAATGTTTTGACTTTAAATATTTCTTTTCGAAGTAATGTAACGTAATTTTAGCACAGCAGGAAGAAAAGGAAGACAAGCGGTTGTCCAGAGTAAGTGGTCTCTGCATAGACACTTTTTTAATATTTTCAATGTTCCGCTGTTCGTTGGCTTGCTGTCTATGAACTCCATGTTGTTTCCATGTGTTGCAACATTGTGAATGACTATCGGTGAATATCTGCAATGCAAATGATTGTGTGACCGTTGCGATGTTTTACTACTTGTTCATGTTTTCGCTTCCTGCGTTTAATGTTTTTGTAACTTGTCCGTTTTTTCTGACGCCTCGTCTTTGTATTAAGTGTTCCTTATACCTTGTACTTTTCGTTGGAGTCACGTTTTCGCACATCTCAAATTTAATACCTGTATTTGTTTTTCTTGTTGCCTGCTAACTATAACAGGCGGCATTATTCCAATCGGTATTACGTTTGTATTTTATTAATTTAATTATTAATTAATTAATTGAATGTCACCGGTGGCACTGACAGATGTTTTGGTAACTTTGAATTTGATCGTGTTGCCACTTAGTCGCTGCGCGGCGCAGCAGCATGCCGCTGCAGTGCTGACCACATGTGCTTGTACTTTTTTTGTGTTGCTCAAGCTGAAAGATGAGCACCTGAACTGCCGCTTTACCGCGACAGCACACTGTTTTCGTACGTCGTCATGTATGACCTTTGAGCTTTCATTTCACCTTTGTTTTTACACCTACCTTCCGTCCTTTTCCGCCATTTCCGTTTTCTCTTTCGCTTTGCCGCTCAGCTCTTTCGCTCCCGTCGTTGATACGTGTTAAAGAAGGATAGCGTTTTATTGGTGATCGTTTTCAACAAGGTTTTTAATGCATTAAGATTTAATCATTTGTGTAAACGAATGCACAAACAGTTTTGAGATTTAAAATTTCAATCTGCTATCTTTTTTTGATACTTGATCTGTTTTTTATAAAACAAATTTCAATGAATTTTTAGCTTGTTTCTTACAAACGTATCATTGTACAAACATGTATTATTGATATGCCTTTTGTTTCTAGAAAATCGATTCACGCATCATGTTGCCACCTTGCGACATCACGGAAGGTAATAATTTGATTTATTCAAAGATTAATAAAATCAACACCATGCCACTAAGTTTTAGTTTAACGTTTGAGTTTTATAGTTAGAAATTAGAACTGATGGCAAGAACCTGAACCTCTTTTACGTGTGCTTTAAATTTGGGTGCACATGTATGCTAAAATCTGAATTCTGATTAGTTAAGTTCTCTCTAAAACAATCTGACTTATGAACTGTATTTGTATAACGTATTTGATTCTTATCTTTGTGTACCGTCTCTGTACACTGATGCTCCTTGTAAACATACCAGACATGATTTCTTTACCACGACCGCTTGTAAAATTTTATAAACACGGTGTCCTTCTTCTGTCCTATGGTTCTTTATTTAAAGTTTCTGTAGCACAGGAGTTCCTTTTCTGTATCGAACATGATTGAAGTTGTTCCTCGCAACTACTGCTAAAATTGTTCCCTGTAGTTCGTTATTGCCTTTGTATAGTCTGAAATTGGATTTTACAAGATCGATCTTCTGGATTTCCGCAGCGGTTTGTACTCCTTTTATGACAAATACATCCTGCATGATCATAAGCTTTTAAGACTTAAACCGCAATGAAAGAGGATGTTTTTACGGAGAACCTGTTCCTTTCTGGCGTAATATATTTTTCTTATGGCCATTGCCGGATGGATTGCTTTAGACGTTGCCATCGTATTTTCCAGGATCTGCAGTGAACAGCAACTCATTTCAGATGAACCGGAACATTTTACGGATCGACAACTGGCCGCTGCCCGTTATCAGAGGAATCAACGAATGTTGTTGGAAATATTCAGCGATGTCTGTATTCCGGATCAACGTGGCATAATGACTACTACCCGTTTGCAGAACCTGCAGCGCCAGGTGGAAAGCTTGACCATGCACAAGGTATGTATACTTTGGTAGCGTCGGTTTTGTCTGCATCGCTACCTCTACTAGAGAAAGCTGGAGTACGAAATTGTGGCGCTCGAAGAAAAGTTCCAGGCGAAGATGCGGCGCATCGAAGAACAGTCTGAAGCGTTTAACGGAACTATATCCTCAGTAGATTTTTTGAATTATTTTTTTAAAGTTTATGTTCATATCGTATGCCGATTTATAGTCAGCTATCTGTTGAGTCAAGGAGAATTTCAGCCGTAAGGCTCACGCATCGGACAGCATAGTCATGTATCTGTGGTATAATCGTAGCAGAGCACCATGCTATCCCTATTTATGGGTCAATGAGCTGGTGCGCGTTTTTCGGCTAGTCCCACCGAAGCCATTGGGGAAATTTATTGCTCAAGGGAATTAGCACATAATAAGAGAAAAATTGCGCCGCGCGTAAGGTTTGAACTCGCATTTTGATCGTGTACAGTAACCTACTAACCCAGTGGGCCACTGCTCCTCCAATTAACGCAGTCTTAAAACAAATGGCTAGAAACGTTTTTGCCTTGTTAGCTAAGCTAAAATCAAGATTTAAAGTGAATATCGCTGCAGATTCTGTGGTTAAATGCACGAAATATAACAAACAAAACGTTAAGTAGAAATTAATTCATTGACTAGGTGTGCTATTAGGTATGGAAGAAGGCATCGATTCGTTGCCCGTTTAAATAACAATTAATGATCTTCGCTTCCCGATCCATGATTGAAGGCAAAAGTCAGAAAGGAAGATGAATATTTATTAGTAGCCTCTCGACGCGGCACACCAGCGTCATTATGTGCAGATTATTGTATTATTAATATATAATGTATTGTAATAATTATATGTAGTTTATAATAATATAGCATATTATTAAGGTGTAATAATGTATAGCACGATATTACGAATGCAGCTGAGTCGCTGTATCATTAGTTATCAATTCTTTCAATGATGTTGCAGTTGGTTTGTGATGATATCAGCGCGGTATTTGTAGTTTGTGTTTT